TTCTCTCCTGAGCTTTACACTAGTATGCCCAAGTACCACTGATAGCACCATTTAATTCTTTTTTTTGTTTTTTTTTTTTTCCTTTTTGTCTTTTTTCGTGACCGGCAACGGATCGCAACCCTCAGTGTCGAGCCCGTACCGGGCCGGGACCGGCCACGGGATCGCAACCCTCGGTGTTGCTCCCGCCCCTCGCTCAGCCAGTGAGCGGCCGGTCTGTATGTGGGATCCAAACCCTCGGCGGGAGCGCCACCGCACTTCCCAATCGGCGCACTATAGCAGTGCGCCACCGGGCCGGCCCAACACCATTTAATTCTTTAATGGCCATCTTAAGCTTAAGATGTGAGAAAGACAAGCTCTTGATTCTTCCCCAAAACCTGATTCCCTTTTAGTCTTCCCCATGTTGGAGACTAGCATTGCCATAATTGGCTAGCCAAATAGAAATCTCAGACTCATTCTTAGTTCCTTTTTTTTTTTTTGGCCTTCATTTTTCACATCAAAACCATTAGCAAGTCCTTTTCCCTTTAAAATACTTTTGCAAATCAAACTATTTCTTATCAGCTTTCTAATGCATATCTCCTACTCCCAATCCCCCTTGTCTTTTGTCCACAAGCAGTTGATTTTTTTTTTTTTTTTTTTTTTTAGGATAATTGGGATCATGTTTCTCCCAACTTAAAACTTTCCAATGATTGCCCAATGATTGTTGTACTTTAAATCCAAACTCTTTATTGTAACCTATACTAGCATTTATTGAGCACTTACTATATGTCAGATATACTGTGGGAGTTGTTTTGCATGTATTAACTGATGTAATCTTCACAACAGTCCTGTGAGGTTGAAGCTGTTATTAATCTCATTTTACAAAACAAGAGTGTAACACAAAAAGGTTAAGTAACTTGTCTAAGTCACACAGCTGGTAAATCACTGAGCTGGAATTCCGAGCCGAAGAATCTGACTCCAAACATCAGTCTGGCCCCTTTGTACCATCTAAGTTCATCCTGTCATTTTGCTTACTTTGCTTTAGCCACACTGGCCTTTTTGTTCCTCAAGTACATCAAAGCTTATTCTCTATAGGAATTTATTCCCTTGGATTGTTCCATGGCCACTGTCATCTCATCATTTATGTCTCCATGCAAATATCTTCTCAAACAGGCCTTCCCTGACCACTGTCTTTAAAACTGCCATCCCGTGTATTCAGTCACTTTTTCCTATTTTTATAGCAGCACATTAACTATCTGAATTGATCTTTCTTTTTATGCTTGTTTCTCTAGAAGTATTTACTCAGTAGGTGTTGAATGTATGGATGATGCCTGACTCTTTGCTGAATGTTGGCTAATATAGTGGTTAAGGGTATAGGCTCTGAAATCACACTCCTCTGTTCATATCCCAGTTCCACTCTTTAGTATGTGAAGTTGGGCAAGCTACTTAACTTTTCTGCACCTCAGTTTTCTCATCTGTAAAATAGAAATTTTGATAATGCCTCCCTAATAAGGTTGTTAGAATTAAATAGATTATGGGCCGGCCGGGTGGCGGCGCTCCCGCCGAGGGTTCAGATCCCATATAGAGACCGGTCTGCTCACTGGTTGAGCGCGGTGCGGGCATGACACCGAGGGTTGTGATCCCGTTGCCGGTCACAAAAAAAGACAAAAAGGAAAAAAAAAAAAAGAATTAAATAGGTTAATGCATGTAAATCTCTTAAACCAGTATATGGCACATAAGAATTCAAGACATGTTATTTGTCTTTTATTTATTATTTTTAAGTTGTTGTTACTATTAATATTAAACGAATGGCATCCCTAGTATGTTCTTTGGGAAATTATATTTGTAGGCCCTACACCAAGCCAACTGAATCAGAATCTCTGAGGAAAAGACACATGAAATTTTTTTTAGAAAGGTTATTTTAACAAGTCTCACAAACATCCAGTCTTGGGAACTATGGCAATAGCCTTTTAGTGTCACTACTCAAAATCAACATGGACAGTTGTGTCTATGTGACATCATGACATCATGTAGTAAGTAATGCTATGCAATAATTTGTAATTTTGCTGAGAGGTAAAGTGAGAGTAAGTTGCTCTAGCAAGTGGGCCCAGGACCTTTACTCCTTACCCTAGCGTCCCCGTCACAGTACAACCTTATTCTCTTAACTGTATCTCTACTAACAAGCAGTAAAATTTAGAGTGACTCTAATTTTGTTTCTGCCTGAAAAATCATCTTGAAAAGAAAACTGAGAAATATGATGATGCCAGTAAAGATATTTTTTAAAGTGGAGATTCTTAGAAACCACAGTGGACCATTTTGATTTTTGATATTTTAATGAAGTGGCAAATTTGTTGTCTGGTTAGCTCAGTAATGTACATATTGTCTGCTATATGCTGTCTGTAAGAAAAAAAATCACAAAGCTGTTTTGACAATGCAAAAATTGCATGTTTTCAGGGAAATTATATGCTATTGTTATATTTATAAGTTTGGGTATTAACAAGGTTTTGTGAATCTCACAAGAGAGTATATAAGACATGATTTCTGCCTTTCTGGAGTTGGAAAAACAAAACCACTACACAAAACAACAGCAAGTGAGATTAAAGTTTACAATAAATGATAAAGTCAGTGCTGTAAGAATTTCAGAAAAGAAAGTGAAAAATATCGGCTAAGAGAGTTCAGTGAAACAGTTGTGCTAATTATGACCTACACAACAAATCTTTAGTTGCAGGACCAGCTCTGCCCCCTAATTATAAAAGCAGCAGTTCAGAATCATCAGACAGTGATGAAGACAGCAGTTCTTTGTATGAAGAAAGAAATCAAGAATCTGAAGAGGATGACACTGGTCCAACTGCAAGGTCAGTCACTTACTTAAATTAGATGATAAACCATGCCTCAAACATAGAATAAGTTGGCTGGAACAGAGAGCTAGTAAGGGGATATCATATTTGCATTTAAATATAGCACAGGAAGAAATCATTTTGTATGGCACTTCATTATGAACTATACCTTTTACAAATAAATTTATTCTAGTAGTGTATAGCTGTGGAGCTATCTAGAATTTCAATAAAATTCTTATAATGAAGGATTTTTCCTTAGGTATTACTGAAATGACTAAATATTCTAAATAAACTGTAGGATATCTTTTTAAAATTATATATATAGTGTACGTTTTGTTTAAAGAAATGAATGATTTCCTTCTAATCTAGCCTTATCTACCATGGGTCTGTGTAAATAAGAAGTTGAATCTTTGTTTATTATTGGATAACAAGGTTTTTTGACCCATTTTAAAGATATGAGACAAAAATAGCAACTTTAAACCCTTCCTTAAATGAGACTAAAAGTTGAAGTCATAAACATTTTACTGAGAAACTGCTAACAAGTAGACTGTTTGATACTTCGTTGAGTAGAATCTTGAATACCACTGAAAATATAGAATAGTGTTATAGTACTACTGTAAAGAAGTAGCCAATCTCTAACTATTTTAGTCAAAAAGTAAATGCCAGGAAAAAATTAGTTAAGAACTATCGTGGTATCCATTTTTTCCTGTTTGGCAAGGTTAACGTATTGTTTCAGTGTTTACACAACTTGTTAAAAGTTAATGCTTCCTTTAAAAATTAAAATTTCTCTTTGTGAAAAAAATGTTGACATATATGAATAAAGTTACACCACTGTGTTCTCAGAAAACAAAGGCGAAATCAGGATGACAATGATGATGATGATGGTTTTTTTGGACCAGCCCTTCCTCCTGGATTTAAAAAACAGGATGATTCTCCTCCAAGGTGATAATGTGTAATATTTCAGGCCATTTTTTTTTTTAATATTTCAACTAGTGTCTGTTAACTCACTAAAGAGTTGTCTGAAATTGTTTTTAATTTACATATTTATATAACATTTGAAATGGGTCATTCATAGGATAAAGTAATTCTTCCCTATAATAATCATTTATAAAAAAAACTTCCACATATCTTGTTTGATACTCATGAAAGTGTCTTGTGGTAGGCTGGGTAGAACATTGTCTCTCTCCCCACTTTTTTATATAGTTAAGGTCACAGACATAGTAAGTGGTAGACCTGGGGCTAGAATCCTGATATTCTGATTTCTAATTCAGTTGTTTTCTTAAATATTTATTGATAGAAAAAAACAAATCCCTGTCTGCCAAATTAGACGATTTGACAAGCTTCTCAGAACCTCAAATTTGTCCTCTGTAAACTAAGATAACAATGCATACCTTACAGAATTGTTGTGATTGAAATTCCATTTTTATGTACATAGACTTACACGCGTGTGTGTGTATCTCATATGGTGCCTGGCACAGAGTAAATACATAGTAAATATTGATTCCTAACTTCTCCTCAGAATTGTAAAAGTTTTAGGGGCTGGCACATTGATAACACCAGGATCCGGTCCAAGGTTTGATCCCTATATGGGCAGCTGCCAAAAAAAAAAGAATTGTAAAAATTTTAGGGCTGACTAGTTAGCTCAGTTGGTTAATAACTTCTCCTCAGAATTGTAAAAGTTTTAGGGGATGGCACATTGATAACACCAGGATCCGGTCCAAGGTTTGATCCCTATATGGCCAGCTGCCAAAAAAAAAAGAATTGTAAAAATTTTAGGGCTGACTAGTTAGCTCAGTTGGTTAGAGCATAGTGTTGGTAAAACCAAATTCAAGGGTTTGGATCCCCATTCCAGCAAGAAAGTTTTAAATGCTGAATATAAAATTGTACACTATTTATAATTCATAACACTATATACCAATATGGAAGAACAAGTAGAAAAGATTGTTGTTCGTTTTATATTCAAAGTTTATCATCAACTTGGCAACTCCTAATTTCCATGTAACTTTGGTCCTTTTAGATATAACAGGGATAGACAGTCTACTACCTATTTTTGTATGGTCCCCAAGCTAAGAATGATTTTTTGCATTTTTAAAGAATAGTTCAAAAAACAAGGATGAATGTGCCACAGAGACCCAAACGTGGCCCTCATAGCCTAAAATTTACTATCTGACCCTTTATAGAAAGTCTGCTTACCCCTGGGATGTAACATTCCTTTCAAGAAAACACATTACTTAAATGTATAGCAATTTCTTTCTTAAGAATTATATTTTGGCAGTAATAAAACATGTGTATGAAAGAAACAGCTGGTAACATGTATTAGAGTCAGAAACCTTTTTACAACCATAGCATGCCATTGTTACATTCCTTTACTGTATTTTAAGATTTGATGTATCAGTAATTGTATCTCCACAAATCCTCTGAGGCCAGGAAATTAGCTGTAATTGCATTTATATCTGCTAAACTTATACTCAGAAAAAACCCATACTGTACTTCCTTATAGCTTATAAATTGATAATTAATTTGATCTTTCTAAGATGCCAAACTTCCCCATCTTTCATATGCAAAATTGTTCCAAAGAAAAGCCCAGGACCAGATGGATTCACAGCAGAATTTTACCAAACATTCAAAGAGGAAATGACACCGATTCTTTACAAACTATTCCAAAAGATTGAAGCAGAAGCAAAGCTTCCAAACACATTCTACGAAGCAAACATCATCCTGATACCAAAACCAGGTAAAGATATAACCAAGAAAGAAAACTACAGGCCAATATCCTTGATGAATATAGATGCAAAAATCCTCAATAAAATATTAGCAAACAGAATACAACAACACATATGTAAGATCATTCACCACGATCAAGTGGGATTCATCCCAGGGAAGCAAGGTTGGTTCAACATACAAAAGTCAATAAATGTGAAACATCACATCAACAAACTCAAGGACAAAGACCATATGATTATCTCAATAGATGCTGAAAAAGCACGCGAGATTGCTAAGTAGCAAAAGACCTCAGCAACTTTTATAGATCGGAAGA